TCTTGCGTACTACCGCCGGAAGGAGAGGTAAGGGTGGAAACGCGTACAGGAGCCCCCTTGGCCATGGGCTCCGTAACGCGTCCGTCTGCTCTGCTCCCTTGGATGGGAATCGGGAGAAGAAGCGAGTTAGGTGGGCATTGGAAGGAGAGGCAAAGAGGTCCACCTGGGGAAGCCCGAAGAGGTGACAGATCTCCCTGAAGATCCTCGGGTGTAGTTGCCACTCCGAGTGATCTATTGTTGATCTGCTCAACAGATCTGCTTGGATGTTTGCCTCCCCCGATATGTGGTCGGCCTTTATGGAGGCCAGATTTTGTTCCGCCCAGGCCCCCAGTAGGAGGGCCTCGGCCGAGAGCGAGCGAGAGTGTGTGCCCCCCTGACGGTTTATGTGGGCCTTGGCTGTCACGTTGTCCGTCAGGACCAGTACGTGCCTGCCTTTTATGCTGCTGTGAAAATGCCTTAACGCTAGGTGAATAGCCCGCAGCTCGAGCCAGTTTATGTTGTGTTGGAGATCCACCGCTGACCAGCGGCCCTGTGTCCACTTGGTCCCCAAGTGGCCTCCCCAGCCGAATAAGCTCGCATCTGTTGTGACTACTACTCTGTCTGGTTCCCTGAAGGGGGACCCCCTGAGGAGAGCTGGAGATAGCCACCACCTGAAGGAGTGTCGTACTCTCAGAGGTATGCCTACCCTCTTCCGGGATGCACTGATTTGCTGTCTCTGAAACGGGAGCATGAACCACTGCAGTTCTTTTGAGTGCAGCCTTGCCCAAGGAACTATTGCTATGGTCAATATCATCTTCCCTAGCAGCTGGGAGAGGCAGACCAGCGTCACTGACTGACCGCGGCTTACCTGTTCTACGGCTTTCTTTATGCTGCTGAGGCGTTCCTGTGATAAGTACACCTTGCTCTCCTTTGTGTCTATGACCGCTCCCAGATGGAGTATTCTCGTAGTTGGGGTTAGATGGCTCTTTGGAAAGTTCACCGAGAAGCCGTGGTCCTGCAGCAGTTTTATTACTAACTTTAGGTCCGCACGAGACTGCTGGGCGGACGATGACTGGATTAGAATATCATCCAGGTAGCACTGGACTCTGACTGGTACGTTTCTTAGGTGTGCTGCCAGAACCGCCAGAATCTTGGTGAACACCCTGGGCGCTGATGACAGGCCGAATGGAAGTGCCCTGTATTGAAAATAGTGCCCCCTGTAGGCAAACCGTAGAAAGCGGCGGTGAGCCAGAGAGATAGGGATGTGCAAGTATGCCTCCGTGAGGTCGATCGATGCCAGAAAATCCCCTTTCCTTACGCTTCCAAGGATGGAGCGTAGTGTCTGCATTTTGAATTTGCGGTATTTTATGTAGAAATTTAGCCTTTTTAAATCCAAAACGGCTCTCCAAACCCCCGAGGGTTTTGGGACCACGAAGAGGATAGAATAAAACCCCTGGTCTCTCTGGTTCATAGGCACCGGCTCTACGGCCCGTATGTTTAGAAGGTGCTGAACGGCCTCGTTCATGAGCCTTCTCTTTGTTGGGTTTGTGGGACAGGGGCACGGGCGGAAGCGGTTCGGGGGCTTTGAGAGAAATTCTAGAGATAGACCATGACGTATGGTGTTCCTGACCCATACGTCTGTGGTGGTCTCTTCCCACTGGGGAGCAAACCCTGCTAGTCTGCCCCCTATGGGAAGGTCTGGGTGGGAGTCATCTGGTACGGCGGAAGGGGCGGTTGTTCCCCCGAAAGGGCCGTCTTCCCTGCGTTTGCCTATGTCTTGTGTTCTGTCTGTCCCCCTGTCTTTCCCTATCCTGTCTAGCTTGGAAGGGTTGGGAATTTTGAAAGTAGTTGACCCTGGCTTCCGTACGAAAGGATTGTTTCCTTCCCCAGGAGCCGGGTCTCTTGTCCTGCCTTTTAAGCATGTGTTTAAGGACCTTGCGCTTGTCCTTGTTCTCTGTCAGGTATGGCGTTAGTGCCTCACCAAACAGCTTTGCCCCTTGGTACGGAGCCGAAGCCAATTTCCACTTGGATTTGGTATCCGCCTGCCAGTTCTTTAGCCAGAGGATGCGCCTGCTCGTGTTGTTTGCCGCCATTGCCTTGGCTGAAAACTTGGTCGCTAAAAGTGTTGCGTCCGACGCATATTCCGTGGCCGCTACCATTTTGCTGAGTTCCTGGTGAGTGCGTATATCCTCCATGGGAACCCGGCCCTGTACCTCACGGAGCCAACAAAGTGTGGCTCTGGTGAAAAAGGACGCGGAGGTAGTCGCCCTGGTAGCCCAAGCTATTGCCTGGTGCGTTCTCCTGTAGTTGGACTCACTCTTTCGGTCCTCGGCTTTAAGAGCCTCAGCAAAATCTCCTGATATGGCCGTGTCCGATATCAGGGGACCTATGGGTTCGTCCACCACCGGCACCTCCAATGTTCCCTCTAGCTCCCTTGCTACGTTAAATAGCTTCCTCTCTGCATTGCTAGGAAGCGGTAGGGAGGTTGGCGCTGCCCACTGTTTCCTTATTGTGTTTAGGAACATGGTCGGGCATGGTATGCGGTGTTGAGTGGTTACCTTTTCGGCGAACGTCGGCTCAGCCTCCGTGTCAACTGTGACAGGCTCCGCTGGTGTCCCATGCCCCAGATGGGCTGTGGCCTCAGCCTTGCGCAGAATGGTAACAAAAAGAGAAGGGTTAAACAGGCCGCTGAAGGATGGCCCTTGAGGTGAGGTGTCCTCCTCTTCCTCAGACATTTGAATCCCTTGTGACGTACCTGGCTGGTCCAGGTAAGCTTCCTCAGAGACCGACGAGTCTGAGAAGGAGGAGAGTCCTGATGGTCCTCCGTTTCCTCCCGATGCCTCGTTCTAAGTCCTAGAGGCTTGGCTTTTGAAGTTTGAGCCCTGGCCTCAAATGCACGGTCCACTGCCTATGCTATTAGGGTAGCTAGCAGATCCCCCGTCAATGCAGGAAGAGTAACCATTGCCTGCGACCCTGCAGGTGCTGTGGTTAGCATGGTCCTCGGGTTTTCCTGTAACCTCCGTGGGGAGGGGGATCGGGAGAGCGATGAGAATTCGCCTATCCCACTCTCTGTTTGGGACTGTGATGAGTTCCCTAATGACCAAATAGCCCGTGGGGATGAAGGGAGACCCAGCGGTAGATCAGGACCTATCACCCCATTCTGCCTATTTTCAATTCTGGCCCTTTTCTGGGCTCTGTCGAACTCTTTTTCTAGGGCTTGGTGTCTTCTGATTGCCTGTTTGTCAGCCTTCTTTGATGACTTCCTTGCAGCCTTTCTAGGGGCTGCAGAGGATTCCGAATCCTCTGAAGCAGGTGCTCCAGAGGATGAAGGCGGGGCTCCAGTGGAGGGAATGATTGCTTCCTCCATTCTCCACTAACGCCGGGCCGCGATAGGGGGGACCCAGGTAGTAGGAGAGCTCCAACTTTGAGTAAGGACAGGCGCACTACTGGGGGCATCTGGAACTCAGGAGCAGACTCTGCAAAATTGTCAGAGTTAGTCACTGTGCACGGATAAGAACAGGCACGCTAATGGGAATGCCTGGAACCTGGCTTGACTATGGTGGGTAAGGACAGGCACGCGACTGGGGATGCCTGGAACCCACCACTAAATCCAGAAGCGTACGGGCCACTAATGGGGGACCCGAAGTCCGGAAGGAGCCAAAGGCAACTAAACACAGTTAGTTATGAAAGGTTCTTATTTACTTTAGGTAGAAGACACCAAGTCCTGGAACCAGCAGCTATGTGTCTGATTTGAATGTCTCTGAATGAATAATAGATGCTTTAGTACCCCAGTACTGCTTGCCTATTAATTCACTCCAGCGGTTGAACCTAGCTTTCTCAGGAAGCCTTAGATCCCCTGTTTGGACAAAAATATGGCCGCCGCTGCCAGGAGACTACTGCGCATGTGTTAAAAGGAGCAGGAGATTATTGCGCCTGTGCTAAAAAGGCTGCCTGTGCCACGTGCGGTTGTAACAAAGAGCCGCGCGTGCTCCCAGCTGTGCAGACAATGGCGCCTCGTTTAAAAAATCCTGAGCAGCCTGGAGTGAAAAAGACTGCTCCTTCGCACGCCAGCTGTTTCCCTTAATCAATCTCCCTCCCAGCATGTGTCCCCTTTGTCCTCCGCTTCCCTCGCTAATTGCTTGCCTTTCTGTCTTTTTGTTTTGTTTGTTTTAAACGCGAGGGGTTGCCCGAGCCTCCCCGTTTGTTTAAGGCGGCTGCCGGCTGCTGGAAGGTGGCTGGGGTTTGGGTTAGGGAGGGGAGTTAGGGATTTCCCCCTTTTAAGTGGGGGTGGTTTCTCCTGTAGGGAATCTGACTTCCTGAGTCTTACAATTTAGCAAGGAAATTTTTGAGTAATCAATTAAATTGAATTAAATTATCTCTAATTAACTTTTAAACTAAGCAATTTCAGCTACTAGAAGAAATCCCCCCCAATGGAAAGGAACTATACCTGCCCAGGAGCCAAAGATGTAGGTCTTTCTGTATGGCCAGATCAGTCAAGACTGGGGAATCATGGTCCAGGACGGGGCGTGGCAACTTTGGCTGACTGATCTGATTGGCCAGGAATACAGTCTCAACCCACTGCGTGGATTATCCATCTCCAGTGCTGGAGAATGCATTGGTTTTTCTAGTACATAACATTTTTTCATCAGATCATATACATGGTTCTGAATAAATCTCATACCAATTACAATACTGTTTATTATCACAATGTAAGGCAACTGAAATATATTTTTGAAACAGTGCACCTAGACTTCTTTGCCAATACTCTTTCATTAAAATTTTTCAACTACTTCTTGCATTAATGCAATAATATGAACAATTCTCTCTCTCACACACACACATACATACACAGATACAACCATACAGAGAGCCTCTCAAGTCTAGATCACATTATGTTTTTAGAAAAGATTCATAGTTTTTATGAAACAAACAAAATATTTTGTATTTTAAAAGTACAGAAGAAACTTATTTCATAAATAAGGAACCATTTTTATGAACTAAAAAAGAGGCACAAATCCTACCTTTCCAAAGAATGGGTTTGCCATTCTTGCAGCAATAAGTCTAGAAATTCAAAAGAGCGCCTAGAAAATAAAAGGTTTAAATTCAGTTCTAAATGTATTTGAATTAGTTACAAAAGGTAAAGATTCTAACTTGTTAAAAGGTTTTAATTACTAGAAGTCAGGGAATTTGACAAACAAACAATTATACTGAATTTAGAAGGAAGCATCATGATTTCTTTATCCCCTTCTATTAACTCTTTCTTTGAGTTAAATCTGGATGGTCCATACAACTCAACATTTAATAATTAAAAAATGATATTTTTATAAGAAATAGCAAAGATGTGTCATGTGACGTGTTTTAGAACCGCATCACTTAGCAATGGAAATTCTGGTCCCAATTACTGTTGTAACTTGATAATTACTTGTCAGGAAAGTCCTATATCAAAATTCAGAAAAATATCCCTCCTAGATGTAGCTATATGTTATGGCAGAAGTCATTCTTAATATTTCCATTTATTAAATTTTGAAATATATGCCTATAAACATTCCTTAAAATGTATTTCATGTCAGATTATAGGGGAAAAATCAACAATTCTGAACATCCAGGCTCAGCCATACTTTCATTCCATACAGCATTAACCTTGTGAACTCTCAAGCTTCCTCCTTCTGTTATATATTCAAGATGGACAGTATTTAATATTTATTTGTTATGTATATATAGGGGTGTGGGTCTATACATATGTTGTATATAGTATGTTTAGGTGTGTGTCATGTATGTGTTTCATTTTGAGAGCGGGCAACTAAATTTCATTTTTTGATGTGTGTCGTTGTGCCCACAGTAAAAAAAATAACAATAAAGGTTATCTTATCTTATCTAGATTTCTGCCAGACTTATAAATATAGTTACCGTTAATTTTTAGTGTTTTAAGATTTACAGGGCACTCTTATTCATGTTTTCTCATGCGATGTCTTGATGACATTATGAGGCTTACCCACAAGTAAGTGCCAGATTATAGTTTTGACATTGATAAATTTCATGTTACACTGCTAGAGATTAAAATTGTTATTAGAGATATTCATATTTTTTCTAACGTTGGTTAATCTTTAAAGGTTAAAATTCAAATGCCTCACCTCCTTACTGCCACAGATTTTGAAGTACAGTTGCTGGTTATTAAAGGTATGAGTCTTGGCACATGTGTATGCTGAAAAGAAAAAAAAGTCTCTTGAAATATAGCTGAATGGATTCAACAGAAACAATGTTAACAAATTAATCTCTGTACAGTATACCCATTTCTGAGTGTCTCACAAACAAATGAAGTTATAAAACACAAAACAATAAAGGCTCTTGGCATAATTTGTCTTACTTTAATTGCAATTTATTTGGAATATGGTTTTTATAGGTTTTAGGTTTTGGGTAGATACATTTCAATCTCTTAAAATTCAAATATTAAAAACAGCTCTTTTAATGTTTATCTTTAAAAGTATGTACAATCTTCTCTCAAAGGACTTCAAATGAACATGAGTCCAATTTTTAATCAAACTAAAATTAATTAATAAACCAATTAAATATCAGTTGGTAGTATTTAAATTATATAGTCCCATATAAAATGTGTATTCTATATACTGTACCACATTTAATATACATAAAAAGAGGGCATTCTGATTGAAATATTGCAGAAAATTAAGATAAAAAATCCCATCTGCTTTTATGTTTATTGATTGATGTAATTAGCAAATATTTTTCAAATGCAATATTTGTAACATCTCAAGCCCCATTCTGGTAGCTTTCAGAACTAGCATAAATGCTACTAGTATTTAGGCAATATTTTTCTCTTATAATCAGTTTTATATAAAGTAAGCATATGATACATAAAAATATATAAACTATACTGATAGTATAACTATGCTATTAATAAAGCTGAAAATATTCTAGCCTTTCCTAACCACATTACACTACTCAAGATGATACTAGATGCATCTGGAGGACAATATCACAATTGCTTCTCAGCACACAGCAGAGCTTTTAAAATCAACAAATAAAAGTGCAATATTCAACATAAATGATCAAGCGTAGATCAATACATTTCTAGACATTTTATCACTGTTATTTCTGCCAGCTGATTAATGGATTTAACAAATGCTGAAGGCTAAGCAAAAATGAATATTTTTGTTTTAATTAGAATATACCTGTCAACGCTGCTAATATTGAATATTCTTGTTTTGACAAAATATGCAGAACTGTCTGGTACTTTTAGAGTTAATTCAGATGAGAATGAGAGAGGAGAGAAAAGCGCATGGAAGGGAACGGAAGTGAATCTTTGCTCTCCAGGTTAATTGGAAGATGTGAATCATGACCCCAAAATAGGGGAGGAGAAATGCCTGGAATGTTATGTGCGAAGGAAGGGAAATTCAGATCTTGGCATTCTCCATGCCGTAATGACATTCCTTTACACTAATAAAGGCGTTTTAGGTTAAAAAATGCTTGAAAGTTCTTTGAAGTGTTTCATTAGTCAGACACATGACATCATGCCAAGATCCATTTTTTAATTTTTTAAACCAATTAATGGGTCCTGGACCCCGGTCACTATTCCTAAACTAAAGGGATAAACTGACAAAGATTCAGGGAAGATTTCATTATGGAAGGAGAAAGATGGCTTGAGGCCAGCACCTCAGTAGCAGCAGCTTCCCCAGGGAGCGGAACGACAGCAGCAACAGCTTCCCCAGGGAGTGAAGCAACAGCCAGCCAGCCGGGGGAGAAAGAACTCTGGCAGATCTCCCAGCTGGGAGCAAAGACTTCAAAAGCAGAATGGAGAGATAATGAAGTTTTGGGTGAGTCACTGGAAAGATTTCAAAACCCAGAGGTGAAAAGCAGAAATCAATTCCTGGAGAGAGGAGCCTATACCCCTCCCATTGAACATCAGAAAGCCTTTCAGATCCTGTCTTCCCCTGCCAGGGACCCCAACCCAGAAGAGAGAGGGAAATCCAGTCTGAGGCATCTGCAGCAATGGGGAGATTGGGTTCCCAGCAGATGGATGGTCAGCGATCTCTGAGCTTGCCACAGCTAATAAAGGCCTTGCAACAGGTTGGGGTGGTGCAGAAGCCAGGAGATCAGCAGCTGGTGGGAGACTGACCACAGCAGTGAAATTGGCCACAGCTCCTGAACGTGCAACCCCTGGGCATAAATCTGCTGCCAGGATGGGGCCAGCAGCAACAGCCACAGTGGAGGCCCCAATAGCCTACAACTGCACCACTTTTCAGAGCAACCTTCGATGGGGACCCAGAGAAGCTGTTTTTTTTCCTCAACCAAGTGCGTTCTCATCTGAATTGCTGGGCCTATCTCTAACCGGACCCGGGGGCCATGGTCGATGTGACTGCGTCCAGCCTAGAGGGAGAAGCATCCGAATGGCTGAGCAATTTATATAATGAGCAAGCCGCTGAATTGGAGGACCCCCACCTCTTCCTCCTAGGGCTGAGAGAAAGATTTGAGGACCCATCTATTGGTCTTAATGCAAGAGAACAAATCTACAAAATAAAACAAGCCGGCAGGCTTGCCCTGGAGTATGTGTGGGAATTTTGCAAGATAGCAGGTCGAATAGAGGGGTGGCCTGAACAATCCCTAATCCATCACTTCATCGAGGGATTAGATGATCACTTCTCTCAGGCCTGCATCTATCAAGCTGTACCTGATCAGCTGCAAGAATGGTACCAGGCAGCAGTGAAGCTCGCCCGCTATAAGTCTCCCCCACCTGAATCTGAGCAGCCGCTAGACCAACCCAGAGAGCAATCACACCCACAAAAACCTCCAACTACTGCAATGGCTGAGAGACCCAGACCACCTGCAGGCCCGTCAAATAAGTGTTTTCGGTGTGGACAAGAGAGACATTGAGCGGCAACCTGTCCAGTTCCCTACCCCCGACTGCAGAGCAGACCGGAACCAGCAACGAGAAGGAAACCTGCCCAGGAGCTAACGAGAGAAAAATCCAAATGGGTCACGCAAGAACCTGTTGCCCGGATTACACTCCCCACACAGGAGGATGCTGGGACTCCGGGTGGACATGCCCCTTCTCTACCTCCTTTGACAAGTGAGTCGACAAATCCCGCCTTTTTCACTGGCTGCCAAACTTATAATCCCTAAGTCCGGGGCACAAATGGACTTAAACGTGCTAATTGATTCTGGATGCACCCGCTGCATTATTAGTCAGCCATTTGCCATGAAAATGGGCATACGGGCAAAACAGCTTTCCAAACCTGTGAGGTTTGAGCAAGCTGATGGCTCCCTGATGGGAAGGACTCTTGTTACACAATTAACTGAACCCTTACACCTAGAAATAGGTGCGCACTGGAAGTTTATTCGCTTCCTAGTGGCTCCAAAAATGACTGATACTGTGATCCTAGAGCTAGTCTGGTTGGAAAATGGAAGCCATATATCTGGTGGGAGAAAGGAATGAGAAGTGTGAGACTACCTATAGGGTCTAAATCTCCCACTGATTCAACCGATGTTGCGGGACACCTTAGGCCTCCCAATGAGTGAGCACACATGGCTGCTTCACCGCCACCGAGCAAACCACTCATCCCCAATGAATACTGGGACCTGACGGAGGCATTTAGTGAAAAAGAATGTGATGCCCTGCCCCCTCATAGACCCAATGACTGCTCCATCGAACTGGTGCCAGGAGCCAAACTCCCACGCCTGAGAATGTATGCTATGTCCCCCCTCGAAATGGAGGAGATGCAGCAATACGTGAACAAAAACCTAGCGAGGGAGTTCATCGAATGGGCCAAATCTACTGTGGGAGCCCCTGTGTTGTTCAAAGAGAAAAAAGATGGATCTCTTCATCTCTGTGTAGACTATAAGGGTCTCAATGCTGTGAGTGTGGAAAATAAATATCTCTTCCCCCTCCTAAAGGACTTATTAACCCATCTGGCTAAGGGGAGTGTCTTCACTAAATTAGACCTGAGAGAGGCATATTACCGGATAAGAATAAAAGAGGGAGATGAGTGGACAGCCTTCAACTGTCCTATGGGGAGCTATCAGTTCAAAGCCATGCCATTTGGACTACAGGGGGCCCCAGCCGTATTTATGCAGTTGATTAATGAGGTCCTACATGATCACTTGTACAAAGGGGTTTTGGTGTATCTTGATGATATCCTGATATACAGCACTGATCACATAAAGCTGGTGAGAGAAGTATTAAAGAAACTATTGAATGCCAAGCTTTATGCTAAATTGTCGAAATGTGAAATTCACCAGATCCGATTAGATTATCTTGGCAACAGAATTTCCAATGAGGGTATTGAAATGGATCCAGACAAAGGGGAAAGCTATAATCGAATGGCAGCCCCCCAAAGACTCGCAAATAGCTCCAGAGCTTTCTGGGTTTTGCCAACTTTTATCATCAATTCATCCCCCCTTTTGCCGAGATTGCCCTACCCCTTCCAGAACTACTCAAAACAGGCAAAGGAGGAGGGAAGCCACGACCGGGCCAATCACTAGCATGGACGATGGGCTGTCAAACAGCTTTTGAGTATTTAAGGAGACTATTTGCTGCTGAACCGATACTAAAGCACCCCTGCCCAGGGGAGCCCTTTGTGATTCAAGCTGATGCCAGCGATGTGGCAGTTGGAGTTGTGTTACTACAAAAGAACAAAAGGGGGGTCCTGCAACCCTGTGCTACACCTCTAAGAAATTTACTGAAAGCGAGCAGAGATGGGCAATCTGGGAGAAAGAGGCCTTCGTGATTAGGTGGGCGCTATTAAACTGGCAACACTATCTAGAAGGGAGCAAGGTGCCATTTGAAGTATGGACAGATCTAGAATCTAGAAACACTGAAAACTCCCCACAAATTGTCCCCAAAGCAAGTGCAGTAGGCACAGTACTTTAACCGCTTCAACTTCACTCTAAAGTACATACCAGGAGGAAAAAGCTTCCTAGCTGATGCACTATCCCGGTTACCCCAATACAAAAGCGAACGGGAGGAGGTTAACAAGGCAATTATCCCCAATCCACAAATTGCCGCTCAACTTACGCCTCGCAGGGTCCCCAATCCTGATGACTCTGGGGTAAAGAAAATAAAACGAGAGCTCCTCAACGATCAATGGTTCAAAGATAATCAAATCTCCCTAACATGCAGGGATGGCTTGGCTTACAAAGGGGGGAAACTATATTTGCCAGAAGCCCTCCGTCTTAATGCTCTCAAACACAGCCATGATGTAAAACAGGCCAGACACCTTGGATATTTGAAAACCCTACACCTCATTCGCTAGCAATTTTGGTGGCCGGGGCTGAAAAGGGATGTGGAAATCTATGTAAAAAGTTGTACTGTATGTGCCACGATGAAAAGAATCCCAGGGAAAACCCCTGGGTTACTGCAAGCCATGACAGACCCTTCTCAACCATGGGAAGAAATAGCTATGGACTTTATAATAGACCTACCTGAAAGTAGAGGAAATACTGTCATCTGGACTGTGATAGACCTGTTTTCGAAGCAGGCTCATTTCATCGCCTGCAAAGGACTCCCATCTGCCCAACGACTGACCAATTGTTCCTGAAACATATCTATCGGCTGCATGGCGCCCCTAAGTGAATAATTTTGGACAGGGGGTGCAGTTCACAGCGAAGTTTTGGAGGAGTTTTTTAAAATTAATTGGGTCATCTCAAGGTTTATCATCTGCTTTTCATCCTGCCACCAATGGGGCTGCAGAATCCGCTAACAAAATAGTAAAGCAATATCTTAGATGCCATGTTTCTTATCAACAGATGAACTGGACTGACCTCCTCCCTTCCGCGGAGGTGGCGTACAATAATTCTGTGCACAGCAGCACCGGCTACATGCATATCAGAGTGGCCACAGGAAAAGAGTGAGGGGGTGGGAAGAAGTTTGGAGAAACACAAAAACTGCTTTAAAAAGACCTTTGAAACCTATAAAAAGCAGGCTAATAGAAAGAGGGCTCCCCAAAGAACATTCCAAGTTGGGGAAAGGTTTATTTATCAACTAAATATTTACACCTAAAATTGCCCAGCAAGAAATTGGGACCAAAATTCTTGGGGCCTTTCCCCATAGTAAGGATCATTAATCCGGTCACCGTAGAACTAAAACTCCCTAGACTTTTAGGGAGAATTCACCCAGTCTTCCATTGCAGTTTGTTGAAACCATATCGGGACTCCACTTTAAGACCTCCCCCAAAGAAGGCACCTGGGCCCCTCGTAGTTGTGGGACAGACCCATTATGAAGTGAAACGTATTCTTGACTCTAGAATTTTTTTAATTATTATTTTAGACCAACAAAATAAAACAAAACACAACAAACATTACACACATACACAGGTAATATATCCTTTTTTGTTAACAGCAGTTTGTAACAGTACTCTTCTATTCTTTACATTTCCCCCGACTCTAGAATTTTTAAAGGGAAATTGCAGTACCTAGTACAATGGAAGGGATACCCGTTTTCTGAAGCCACCTGGGTGAAATCCAATGAGGTGAACTCTGACAGGCTCATCAAAAGGTTTCATGCGAAATACCCCAACAAACCAAAAACTAGTCATTAACATATGCTTTTGTTTACATTACAGGATCTGTCCTTTTTGTAAGGGGGGGGGCGGATGTCAACGCTGCTAATATTAAATATTCTTGCTTTGACAAAATATGCAGAACTGTCTAGTAGTTTTAGAGTTAATTCAGATGAGAATGAGAAAGGAGAGAAAAGCGCGCGGAAGGGAACGGAAGTGAATCTTTGTCCTCCAGGTTAATTGGAAGATGTGAATCATGACCCCAAAATAGGGGAGGGGAAATGCCTGGAATGTTATGTGCAAAGGAAGGGGAATTCAGATCTTGGCATTCACCATGCCATGCTGACACTCCTTTACACTAATAAAGGCTTTTTAGGTTAAAAAATGCTTGAAAGTTCTTTGAAGTGCTATATTAGTCAGACATATGACATCACCACTAGATCATGCCAGGGGATTTATAAAGGCTATCATCATGTTTTAACACTGTTCAGCCTAATTCTGCAAATCTAGCTATAGGATATGAAATCCATAATCTTTCTATCGTGTAGTATACATGCCTATCTCCTATTTTATGACAGCATACTGCTCTTCAGCTTTTATAGTCAATAGTTTCTTAGAAGTAAACTACTCATGAAGAAAGTTAGTACATTTTAAATCTAAGTACCAGTCTAAGTCTAAATACCAGTCTTAATCCTAATTACCAGCCTAAGACTCTAATCATAGCTGGCGACAATGAGTTCCACATTTAATGTATCTGTGAAATAGCGCTTCCTATACCCATTCAAATTTTATTGCTGCTTATTTCCACTGGATGAACGTTTCCTTAAGCAGAAACAGACAATTCAATTATCAGCAGATTAGAAGGGAATTGGGACTCCATGCATATATTTCTTGACATCACACTTAATGTAAATTACAGGTACTCTTGAACCTACGATCATTTCTAGCAGCAATTGTTCCAAGTTATAACACCACTGACCATACAGTTGTTACTACAGTCCCTGGTGTTCCAGCTGTTCCAGCATCTCTCAGTCATTGGATGCAATTGTGATCTGGATTTGGCAACCTGTTCACATTTACACCTGATGGCCAAGTGTCTTCTGATTATCTAATTGCTATTTACAACCTTCCATACTGGTTCCTCCAGAAATTTAATGGGGAAGCTGGCAGAGAAGATTGCAAATCACTGGGATAAGTCTATCCACCTGCAATCTCCCCCAACCCTTCTGTACTTGCACCAGCCACTTGTGCATTTTCCTGCACCATCTCCAACCCAAAGGGTACCTCCTGCACACCTTCCTGCAACCTCCATGATCTAAGTAGCCTCTTGCATACTATTTCCAACTTGAATTATGCCTCTTACACACTTCTGTGCCCTGTCCCAACCTATGCCTCTCACACATCCCTCATGCACCTTCTCCAAGTCATGCTGCACCATTTGCGCCGACCAGCAATAGCCATTCCAAACTCCACTGCATTTATACTGTCCACCTATGCACTGCTTTGCTCCTTCTCCCGTCTGGCAGCAGGTTTTTATTTACCTGCTTGCTTGCTTGCAAGGTACCTGGACTTTGCAGCTTCCTGCCAGTTTTTCCATTTCTAGTTGTTGGAAGCTGGGATGAAGTTGTGAGGAAGTACTTCCTTAGCAACCCATTATCCTCACTTAAGGACAGCAATGGAGACTGCAGGGATTGCTGTCACTAAACAATGTGGTTATGTGACATCACACTTTTTGACCACATAGCTTAGTAATGGAAATTCCAATTCCAGTTGCTGTCATAACTCAAGAACTATCTATACCTTCATTTTAAGTTATCCACTTTGATTTTATAGGTCTTCGACTTACAACCATTTGTTCAGCAACCATTTGATTCACTTAACAACCAAGATTCACTTCTCAACTGCAATATCGGAATACTGGAAAAGCTCAGAAGGATCTTCATCCAACACAACATATGTGCACACTTCAAACCAAAATATACACTAAGGCAGAAGCTTGTCCACCCCAAGGATAAAACACCCAGACACAAACTGAGCAACGTGGTATATGCAGTACAATGTAGTGAGCCATGTGCAGATCTGTACATTGGGGAAACAAAACAATCACTTCATAAATGCAGGGCATAACATAGGAGAACAAACCCATCAGGACAAGAGTCAGCAGTCCATCTGCATTTAAAAGACAAAGGCCACTCTTTCGAAAACAGCAAAGCCCACATTTGGACAGAGAGGACCACTGGTTTGAAAGAGGGTTTAAAGACGCCATCTGTGTCAAAATTGAACAGCCCTCTCTCAACCGAGGGGGAGGGATACAACATCATCTATCTCCAGTCTATAACATTAGTCCTTTCAGCATTCCAAGTAGTGTGCCCATCTGTACTACTCAGGTGACCCTGACAACATGGATAAACCTCCAGGTGGCCTCAACAAGTCTCTAAAAGAATGCAAATGATCAGCTGTCTGCAAGAAGTATAAATCCTTCCATTCCCCACCATCCAGTCAGAGCTGAAGAAGCTTCTTGGATGAGAAGCGAAACATCTTCAAAGAAAAACAAGAAAATCCAGTTGCCTTGTGAAAAAGCATCTTTGGGACAACTATGACCTGGATGATTGGGAATCTCCATAGACATTTTCAACTACAGTGATTAGCAACCATAGGAAAAAGGTCAGAAAACTGGGGTGACTCACTTAACAACTGTTTTGCTTAGCAGCACAAATTCTGGTCCCATTTATGGTCGTAAGTCAAGGACTACCTATATTTGGGTTTTTATTGTTTGTTTGAAAGAAAGCATTTTTATTACCATAGATGATTGTCTACACATTGCAAATATACAGTTTATTTTGCTGAAAATAATGCTTGGTTATTAGTAAATTACGTTATATACCTAATTGGCAATAGCTTCTTAAAAGTAACATAGAAATATACTCACACGGATAATAAATCTAATGGCTGCACATCCAGAAGTAGCCATTACTTTGGCGGTATTAGGGACCAGATTGAATAGAGTAGGCACAATGGCTTCTGCTCCATGGTCAAATTTGTTTCCCAGAACTGTTGAAAGATGGCTGCAAAGAATGAAACAAAGCAAATTATCAAAATCCATTCAACTGCCAATATAAAAACTTTTTAACAATTCATTATATCACAAAATGCTTTCTAGAATATTCAACCCATTAGTTGTCATAATTTTTTTAAGAACTTTCCTACTGGATTTTATTAACATATACCTTAATCCAAATTTCCTTCCCCTATACTAGCCAGCTTACACTAGCCAGCCAACGTTAGCCAGTTAGGAATGATGGAATGCTTTTTTAAAAAATAGTATGTACACAGCCCTTCAAAAATTAAGTTTTCATTCTAGATTTCTATCATGGTGATACTTTGTTTAAGAGAACTGAAAGATGCTATGTATGAGATTGCCATGGAAGGTTGCTGGTAATTTCAGATACAGCAATAGAAAGGTGTTAAAAATTGCTATGTTTAACAGCATTCTTCTGCCCTTTTTATTATATAGTTGTCCTTGATTATAATTATATAGGTAATCCTTGACTTACAACAATTCATTTAGTGACCAAACTTACATTGGCATTAGGACTGTTTTTCACACTTACAACTGTTGCAGGACCCCCATGGTCAGGTGATCCTCTTTTGCCATCTTCTGACAAACAATGAAAAAGCCAGATTCATTTAACAATCATGCTACTAATTTAACAACTGTAATGATTCACTTAACAACTGTAGCAAAAAAAGTTGTAAAGTGGAGCAAAACTCACTTAGCTTAGTGATAGAAATTTTGGGCTCAATTGTAGTCGTAAGTCAAGGACAACCTGTATTAGAAAAATAAAAAGTAAAATGCATTGGGCATGAGCTACTTAAAAAGTTTGTATAGTAAAATATCTAGAAATCGAATCAAAAATGAATAGTGCTGAAGGAACAAAGGTAAAAATGAATGGCAAGTCAGAAAGAAATACATTGAAAGAATGGATGAGGATTATACACACAGACACAGACGCACAGGAACAATGGATAAATGTAGAAAAAAAAATTGTGGTTAGATGAAAGGTGTTGAAAAAAACCCAGACAATGCTTTAATCCAGTGGTTCTCAACCTTTCTAATTCCGTGACCCCATAATACAGTTCCCCATGTTGTGGTGACCCCCAAGTGGGTGTGGCCACCAATAAGAGGGAGTAGGACAGCTAGGGAAAAGGGAAAAAATGGCGGACAGCGTGGTTTGGCGACCCCCGTGAAATGGTCGTTCGACCCCAAATGGGGCACCGACCCACAGGTTGAGAACCACTGCTTTAATCAGAATATGAGCATAACCCTTTGCACAAAGTTACTTGTTTTGGAAAGAAATACTGAGTATGTATGCATAGTTGTAAACAGTATGTTAGCAAAAAACTATTAGGTGGAACTAGATGCTACAAGATTTAGTAAACTAGCTTTAAGTTATGTTATTTTTATTGGTTCCAATTTCATTTCTTATATAAAATTCAAGATATTATATTAACCAATCATGCCAGTTGCAGTTTAGAAATACAATATTTCAAAGAATACATCTTGTAGGTTTCTATAGAACCTCAGGATTGTATGTAGCGATCCTGCTCTGCATACTTCTCCAATGTTCAGTCAGTGAGCCTTCTCAACGTTGGTCTCCTGCTTTTGGAATGTCCTTAGGGACAGCTTGCTTATTTATTGTCTTTTTGGTACCAAGAATATCTATTTTGGTATCCTAAACCTTTTACTATATTATGTTATTATTTTATGTTAGTTGGATTTTTCCTGCAATCTATATCTGTTTATGATTTTAGTTGTGCACTTTAATCATTGTTTAATTTTTGTAATTGCAATATTAAGAAACCATCATGCTTAATCCAGTGGAACTATACTTCTACGAAGGATTTTTGGATTTATTTGCAAGAATTGAAAGACAAATTATTTCATTAGGTAAATAAATTTATGTAGACACAGTTATTTCAATAGTATTTGACGCAGCTGTATTATAGATAATTAACACATGAGACAGATGCCATTAACCAAGATTTCAGTATTTTTAAATCATTTTAAAAAGTTACAATAAAGTCGGAATTCAATCTAGTATAGCAGATATAATCATTTTTATATATGCTTACACATGTTTATACCATCCAGTATCTTCAAATTTGCTATAGTAATTAAATTATAAATCAAATTCTTTAAAATTTAGGGCAACTATATAGAGGGCAAAATTTAGAGGCAAAGATTGGATTGTTCTCTTCTGTGCATGATGCATTCAGGCATATGAAACATTAAATTAAAGCAGGGATGACGGAAAGAGTGGAGCATACACAAGCCAATTTCAGATTCCTTAACTACCCTTTGACAAACTACCTATACCTCTAAAAAAGCTAAACACTTTATATTATTCATAAAAACCAGCTGTGTCCATCTAATACGAAGCTTATCCTTGCCTAGATGCTTTAATGCTTTGCATGTGCAGAATTACAAGAAGGAAGATGAGAAAATAAACACTTTTTTATTCTCTGAGTGCAAGAACAAACATTTCCAGCAGGTACCCTGCTAAACTCTATTATAGGCAGTCCTTGACTTATGACTGTAATTAAGCTCAGAATTATAGTTGTAAGTCATGGCAGTTGTTAAGTTGGCTAACTTAACTTTGAGCTGTGTTATAAAACATTATTGTTTATGCAGATAGTTTGTCAATTATATTATTTATAAAGGTAGTTCTCGACTTACCACCACAATTCTTGGTCAATGAAATGGTCATTAAGTGAGGTGTCATGTGATGGCTTTTCGTAAAGACTGAAATCCTGGCACTCTTGGTTGTGGTCATTAGGACATCTCAAGGTTGGTTAAGTAGATGAAGTCCTAGGTGCCTCAAGTGGATGGGGAAGGCTCTGAGATTACCGATGCAGGCTGCATGCAAATGTCTCTGTTCGGTAGCTGAAAATCTTCCCTGCCAAAATCCAAACAGGATTTTCAACCCAAGTGGAAAGACAGATGCAGCCTCCCAAGGTCTTACCTACCATGAGGCACCCCATGATCCTTACTTTACTGCAGCGCTTCTCCACTCAGGAGCTGAAAATCTTACTTGATGAAATCCAAGCAACATTTCAGCCAGAGTTTGTGCATGGCCTTCCCCATTTTCCTAAGGCATGTGATACTTCTTTGCTCAGGGACCAAAAATCCCTTACTTCTGGGGGCTGGCTGAAAGAACTCCTTGCCAAACGATTTCAGTTCTTTGCCTGTTTGAGTTGCTGAAATTGAAGCAGGAACAGAACAGAAATCCTTCAACAGACAGTTCATTCTGAAGCCTCCAGAGAGGAGAGGGAGTCCTCTTGGCAGGCAGCAGCAGCTTGCAATCTTCCTTGATGGCTTCTCCATTTGACTTTCAGTGAAGCCGCAGAGAATAATCCCAAGTGGTGATCACATGATTGATGGAAAACACTCATAAGTATGAATAGGTTGCCAAGCACCTAGATCATAATGATGTTCCTACAATGGTGGTGGTATGTTTTGCAATGGTCAGAAATGCTTTATAGGTCTTTTGAATGCTGTTACTAATTCAAAGCAGTATTAAGCAAATAGTCATAAATCAAGGACTACCTGTATAGTAATTAAAAAAAGGCACACCTGGTGTATTTCCAATAGGACTCTCAATATTCACAGTTACAGTGAGGGAAAAAAAATATTTGATTCCCCTGCTAATTTTGTATGTTTGCCCACTGACAAAGAAATGATCAGTCTATAATTTTAATGGTAAGTTCATTTTAACAGTGATAGACAGAATAACAAGAAAAAAATCCAGAAAAACACATTTCAAAAAAGTTATAAATTGCTTTGCATTTTAATGAGCGAAAGAAATATTTGACATCTTCACAAAATATGACTTAGTACTTGGTGGCAATGACATAGGTCAAGATGTTTCTTTTAGTTTGCATACAGCTCAGGAAGAATTTTGTCCCACTCCTCTCCAACTCATTCAGGTTTTGAGGCTGACGTTTGGGCAGTTCAAACCTTTAGCTCCCTCCACAGATTTTCTATGGGATTAAGGTCTGGATACTGTCACTAGGCCCCTCCAGGACCTTAATATGCTTTTTCTTGAGCCACTCCTTTGTTGCCATGGCCATGTATTTTGGGTCATTGCCATGCTGGAATACCCATCCACGACCCATATTCAATGCCTTGGTTGAAAGAAGGAGGTTCTCACCCAAGATTTGATGGTACATGGCCCTGTCCATCGTCCCTTTGATGCGGTGAAGTTGTCCTGTCCCCTTAGCAGAAAAAAACCCACCAAAGTATAATGTGGGGGGGGATGGTGTTCTTGGGGTCATAGGCAGCATTCCTCCTCCTCCTCCAAACGAGTATGGTCCAGTTGTCTTGAGATCATTGACAAGATACTCCAGTGTAGTTTTGGGCTGATTCCTCACTGTTCTCATGATCACTTAAACTTCACAAGGTGAGATCTTGCATGAAGCCCCAGACCAAGGGAGATTGACAGTTATTTTGTGTTTCTTCCATTTGCAAATAATCACACCAACTATTGTTACCTTCTCACCAAGCTGCTTGGTGATGGTCTTGAAGCCCATTTCAACGTTTTGTAGGTCTGCAATCTTGCTCCTGACATTCTTGGATAGCTCTTTGGTCTTGGCCATGGTGGAGAGTTTGGAATCTGATTTACTGATTGCTTCTGTGGACAGGTGTCTTTTATACCTCACCCTTTAAGAGAGTGCTGCTAATCTCAGCTCTTTACCTGTATAAAAGACATCTCGGAGCCAGAAATCTTGCTGACTGATAGGGGATCAAATACTTATTTCACTCATTAAAATGCAAATCAATTTGTAACTTTTTTGAAATGAGTTTTTCTTGATTTTCTTTGTTGTTATTCTGTCTCTGACTGTTAAAATAAGCCTATCATTAAAATTATAGACTGATCATTTCTTTGTCAATAGGCAAACATACAAAATCAGCAGGGGATCAAATAATTTTCCCCCTCACTGTAAATTCAGCAAGCCACTTTGTTTTCTTGATCTATACTTACGCTACTGTGATGCATGCTTCTCTAACCACCTGTGATCTGAGATCTTTAGCAGATAATTTAAATGCTCCATCCAACAATCGTAAATGCTGGAAAAAGCCATCATATTGCGCAGCTCCAGCAACAAGTAATGACCGGACCTTCTTAAGCTGGGATAGTGAAAGAGCAAATAAGAATATTAACTTTTCTAAATGCAAATATGCTATAATTATATAATCACATTTAAAAATATGTAAAAAATTTTAAAAAGACATACCGCATTAGTGCGCTGATCCCAATCATGTTTATCATCTGACAAGATTTCCCTGATTTTATTTAGTGTTTCTTCAAGTTCACGACTAGAATAAATCTGAAAGGGAAACTTCCAATCAGGTTGTGCTATATATATCTTGTCCAATAAATAATTGAAAAAAAAATTGTGATTTCTATCTTGCAGGATGACTCCCTAATTGGAAGTGCCCAATATGATACTCTTACATTTCCATGAAATCTCTTATTATGCAGAATAAGACAATGGTAAACGAAGATTAATTATTTGCTACTAGTTTTGATAATCTCTTCTCAACTATGAATCAATTAATGTAAAATACAATTTCATAACAGAGAAAGCAATTGGAAATAAATCTGCCTTTTTGGTACAGCACAGGGATTCTAAAAAAAATACATGGATATTGATAACAAGATATAACAAGGTGGTTCATATTTTTAGATTGTGGAATTAAATCATAAGGAAACAGTATAAATGTTGAACAAGATTATATCACTTTTCAACAATAAACATACATTGAAATGAACACTCATGGAAAGATAATAAGTTTGTTTCAGTAAATACCAAAGAGGACTGGAAGTAGCACATAAAAATGTGAAATGCACAAAATATTCTGGAGTACTGAATTACTTAGCATAAGACAATTGTGAAAAGTTGTGATAAAAATGTTGATTTTGTTAAGTTTATATATTAATATAAAAGTCAACCTGCTTATACTGCAGCAGCCAAGAGAGGGCAATCTAATACCACAAGAGCATATATTAACATAAGAAAATAAATTCTCAATAATTTTTAAATTATTAGATACTATAAATATCTGATTTTTGGAAAGTTATTTAAACATCATTTAATTATGCCATAAAATAGAATTCTATAGATAAAAATAAAACTGTTACTTTGAAATTACACTAGAAAAATATTACTGCCTGAATTTCTCTAAATTATATAATAATCATTACATTTTGGTATAAGGAAAAAGACCTGGAAGATCAAACCTAAAAAAATAAATAAATCTGTGGACTAATACATTCCAGAGGAAATTGAGTACTAATATGAATAAGGCAGTTACTGTTGATGAAGTGGATGTGGCTCTTTGAGCCTTCTTCTGCGGCTCCTAGCCTCCTCCGCCATTTGCAGAGAGAGAGAGACAGACAGAGAGAGATAGAGATAGATAGATAGAGAGAGAGAGAGAGAGAGAGAGGCACTTCCCTTCTCTCTCTCTCTCTCTCTCTCTCTCTGTGTGTGTGTAAAAAAGAGAGTGGCCTTACACTGTTCTCAGACAAGCTGACAAGCTTACTGGGCGGGGTTCCTGCTTTTGCTTCTTCTCAGCAAGAAGCAGGAAGCAGCAGTTCTCTCTCTCTCCCCCTCCCTCCCTCCCTCTCTGAGTGGAGGAAGAGGACTGGCAGACCAAGGGCAGGAGAGAGCCAGCCCAATAAGAATTTATGTCAGCTTGTCACAGTGTGAAGCCAACTTGCCAGGTGAGCAGAAGATCGGAGAGAGGGAGGGAGAGAGAGAACTCATGCACAGCAGCCTCTATTTCTTTTTAAACTCTTCAATCAAGCTCCCCCCACCTCCCACGTGGCTCCCAGTGTTTTTTTTTCTCTGGGAAACAGGTCCAAGTGGCTTTTTGAGTGTTTAAGGTTGCTGACCCCTGCCCTAGCCTCCATCCTAAAAAAGGGGGCTTATGAATGTGCAGTCTCTGAGACTTAGTGCTCAGTTTTGAAGGAGCAAAGACTTTTCTCAATCTTTTAAATTACTTTTATTTCTAGTCTTAGCATTTAACTAGATTTCCAGAGCTGAAAACAAGTGAAGCTTTTGCTCTGTTGTTCCTCCTCACTTGCTAGATTACTGGGAATTCTTGGAGCTTCTCTAGCCTGACTGCAACAAATAGCCATAATTAGTTCAAAGTCTTTAGTCCTATTTCAATGTTCTCTGGCCTGGAAATGGCATTTCTTCTTGTGCTAATATTTCACTGCTAGTTTTAAACTTCAAAATGTCATAAATAATAGCTTAAAGATCTGATTTTCAAGTATTATTTTGTTTCTCATAAATGACAGGGAGCCATAATTTCTGCTTGGCTTTTGAGTCAAAGCAGCCTTTTCTGGATACCTATTCCTTCCCCATGAGGTCAGACAATGAGTATTCCTAGTTTCACTTTTAAATTTAGAGTAAAAAAAAAAAAAAGTCACACTCCTGGCTTCAGTTTTAAAATTTAAGTTCAAAAGAATGGTAGAAAATGATTGGGGCTTGGTCCTGTTCTATGGAAGGGTTCCAAGCTTTTCAGCAACAAAGCAGACAAACAATATTCACTCTTTTCTCAAATTAAGAAATTGTGAAAGGAGCAAGAATAGTTCATCAACTAGTAGCTCAACAGTTTTGGAGGGTGAAAACTTCAAATACCTATATAAAAAATGCAAACATAATATGCATCATTTCCTGTGATCAGGTAGTCCTTGACTTATGACTACAATTGAGCCCCAAATTTCCGTTGCTAAGCAAGATATTTGTTAAATGAGTTTTGCCCCATTTTACAACCTTTCCTGCAACAGTTGTTCAGTGAATCACTGCAATTGTAAAGTTAGTAATACAGCTATTACCTGAATCTGGCTTCTCAATTTGCTTGTCAGACGATTGCAAAAGGTGATCACATGACCCCAGGACATTGCAACTGTCATAAATATGAGTCAGTTGAAAAGTGTCTGAATTTTGATTATGTGATCATGGCATTGTTGTAATGATCATAAGTATGAAAAATGGTTGTAAATCACTTTTTTCAGTGCTGTTATAACTTCAAATGAACTGTTGTAAGTCGAGGATCATCAAAGCAGGGCTTTTTTTGTTTTAGAGATATTATGATGGTAAAAATAATGGAATGAGAATTGTTTGTAGCAACTCTTAAATGTATATGCTGGGTCTGTTTTACTTCCGGGTCTCAAGCTTAATGGTTCAAATGTTTCTTTTGGCAATGAATTGCAAATTTGGATATAACTGATCAAGGATGCAAGATTCAGAAAAATTAAAACGGTAACTCTACAACAAGTGTATGCATAAGAACTCTTCCCGCACTTGAACTAAGATAAATGATGATATTGAATGAATTTGTAGTGTAATTCTGGATACTTTGTGTGATAAATACATTTTGTTGATATTGAAACTTTGTTTATAGTATAGAATGTTGTTCTGGTGATAAGCCAGTACCGTTCAAAACAGCCACTAGATTTGGTATGTTTAATAGCTTAATGCAATTGTATCTTATTGAGTGCACTGCAGTTAAAAAAAACCTGTCGTTAGCCAGAGCCAATCTATACAAATGGTTGCAAGCAGATGTGATGCCACAATTATAGAGTCATACAGGAGCCATGGTGGTGCAGTGATTAGAATGCAGTGGCTAATTCTGCCCAGAGAACGGAGTCTGATACTGACTGGTTCAAAGATGACTCAGCCTTCCATCCTTCCAAGGTCGGTAAAATATAGCATTTTACCTGTACAGTAGGAACATCTGTAAATGCCTTTATGAAATCATCTTCATCAACAGCACCAGCTCCTCCTTCTTTAGTAGTGCCTGCAAGCAATAAAAATTATCATAGCCAAGATTTTAAATGAGGTTCAACTAAAGAAGAGGAATCACACCAATCAAGTTACAATAGTTTATAGAATTTCAGATTAAAAAACATCCTGGCTGAAGGATATTTTTTTTAGCATTTACAAGAATAAGTTGAATTTTTAATGAAAATCTACTTTGTCAAGGTAGTATGTTCTTGCACCCAAAAAAACTGAATGTTGAGCCCATATGTCATTTTAGTAATTTGCATAATTTCTGCTACCTAACTAATAACACTATGAAATATTTCTGCTTAAATGTGATTGAAGCAATACAAAGGAAAGCATCTATAGCTGTAAGGAATAAAAAAAAATTAGGATCAGAACCATCACAAAATGAACACCAATGCTTTTAGTAAAAGAGTATATTAGCCAAAAGTTTCCTAGAGCATAAAATAAAGTAAGCTTTTTGTTACTTCTAAGCCCAGATTCCAGGTTTGTCTCTTCTCTAAGAAATCAGAATCTGAATCTGAAGTCTTGGCTTTCTCGAAGCATGACTTGGGTTCAGATACTATATATTATCTATTATGGTAAATTTCTGTAAACAATAATATACATTTATTCTGTTGTAGATTTTGTGTAATCCTAGCATAGTAGTAGTTTGTAATTATATCTATTTAATAATTTCCAATTCTGTTTTCTCTGTCCCTTTGTACTGTATTAAAAAAACGTACTATCATTAACTTTGTCTTAAATTCTTTTCTATTATACTCTTACCTTAGTATCAACACAGTTCCATAAAAGAAAAACAGAATTAATAGAGTATATATTTAAGAGGGGGGGGGAGAAATACTGCTACAGAACTGGTTGCTACAGCACTGGCCACAGGAGAATATTAAGGCAATGTTTAAGTAATGTAATTGATAGGAACACACTACTCACGTGAAACAAAGATAATGCCTGATTGGTTTACTTACATTCTTCATGAATTAAACAATGCTTTTCCTTTCCTTTTTTCTATTTTTTTCTCAATACTTATGGCTACTAACTATTCTACAGTTTGTTTTTTTTGTTAAACCAGTGGATTTGCAATCCTTCTTGATACTTTAAGAGTTACATTTATGTACAGTTTCCTTGCTCTTTTAAAAATACTAAAACAATTTCTGAAATCTGGTACATCATCAAACATAAAAAGTATTGATGAAAAATAATGAAACTCTGTATATATAAATTATCTGAAAGGTTTTCATATAAAAGATCAAACAATAAATACGTGCATTACTCTCAAAATTAATGTTCAATTTAATAATGCAAAGACATTAATAAAATATACATTTTAAATAAATCTTGCTATATATCAGCCTTTTCTGAGAAATAAAATAAGAGACAAGAGGGACAAACAGGCATGGGAGTATTTTACGGTGGCACAGATCTGTGACTCTTGAATGCGCTATCTTGCCATTCTTACAACAGAATTACCAAATGACTGAAGGAAAAAAGTGCATTGAAAAAAATGCATATTAATAATATAAAGGCGCGCGCACACACACACACACACACACACACACACACTCTTGGCATAATATACTCTTGGCAAATCTAAATACACACACACTCCACATGAACAAAACCTTTGGCTCTTTGAAATTCCTAAATATTAATAGAAATTCTTAGATTTTTAGTAATAAAAAAATAAACTTCTAAAACAACATATAGCCTTACTCAATCTTTAAAATTTCCCTTCAGGCATCTATTTTAAAGGTTTTGTTTAGCATCAACTAAAGTTAGATCCTCACTATCATATTATCTTTATTTTTCTCTTAGTTTTTTCTTCCACAATAAATTAGAAGATAAGTTTCTCAGCAATGAATTGTATAGCTTAAGTTTCTCTGTAAAGCCCGCATGCTGAGACTAAATTATTAACAGTTCTCCTTGTAATTTATAAATTTTTAGATTATTAACCTAGATTTATTTTATTTATTGTAACACTTTAATAAATAATAAAAGCATCTTCAATAATCTAAATGGCTGAAATTGATGCAATTGATACAATTTTCTACCTAGCCAACTTTAACATTTTTATAAAGATTTAGTTTTCTGTAGGATTCTTAAAAATATGTCATCTCAATGTAGTTTCTTACATTTTTAAGTAAACTGTGATATAAACATAATTTTCAACAATGGTCTTACATGACATGGATACCACTTCTTGAGGAACACATGAAAAAAGCTGTTTTAGACCTACTGCCATTTCTGATAAACTTAGCAATAAAATACTTTTTTGTGGAAAATAGCAAAAAATATTTGTCATCTAATGCACTAGAGCAGAGATCCCCAACCTTTTGGGCACCAGGGACTGAGTCCATGGAGAAAGGTTTTTCCACAGACCGGAGAGTGAATGGTTTTGCTTGTTTGGGGCTTTGCTTGTTTGTGCAGACTGGTTGCTGGCATTCTGCAGCCCGGTACTGGTCCTTGGATCAGGGGTTGGGGACCACTGCACTAGAGGACATGTGGTGATAAGACATTTTTGAAACCAACTACATAAATGTTGGAAAGTCCACATTTCAACTCTCTTAAACACAGTTATATTTCTCAGCATACCTTCTGCAAAATGAAGATACTTTCCAACCTTATAAAGCTCACAATATAGTTTAAATAATATATTAAGCTACTCCACATTTGAAAGATACTTCAGATGTACTATTGTTTTTATTATGGAAATTTTATTTACATTCTGCTACCACAAAAATAGATGGAGAACAAAACTAGGTATAATGTAACTAGGAAACATATTTTGCAACAAGCATGGTAATTAAGTTATGAAAGAAAATGATTCAATGTGTAAAGATGTTAACTGTTTTATCTGAAAATGCTAACTATTGATGTCCCAAAATATTTTCATTGATGAAATGGAAGAATGGAGATTCCATGCTTTTTGTATAAAATCAAAAAATCTGTACCTGAGGAAAAGAAAATCTCCCGGAATAAATTTGTGGGAGAGTATTCTGGGGGCTTGGAAGACAGATACAAATAATCCTTGACTTACAATCATTTGCTTATTGACCATTTGAATTTACTGCAGTGCTGAAAAAAGTGACTTATGACTTTTTCATACTTATGGCCTTTGCAGCATCCCTGTAGCCATGTGATCAAAATTGGGATGCTTGGCAACTGACATGTATTTATGACGACTGCAGTATCCTGGGATCATGTGATCATCTTTTATGACCTTGTGACAAGGAAAATCAATGGGGAAGCCAGATTCGCTTAATAAGCAAGGCAAGAAATAGGCAAGAAATGTCATGAAATGGGGCAAAAGTCATTAACAACTGCCTTGCTTAGCAACAGAAATTTGGGACTCAATTGTGATTATTAAGTTAAGGACTGTCTATAAGTCAGTTATTTACTCTTATATATAAATAGGGGTCAGGTTCATGAAATGGACTAAAAATAGTTAAATACTGAAAAAAGAACTCTTAGGATCTCATATTTATTCTTTGACAACATTCAGAAAAATTCTAAACTGAATGTTTAGGAAAAACAATTTCCTGATGTTGCATCAAAAATACAGATGTGACAATATAATATAGTAACTACAATCTTCCTTGCCCAAACATCATTCATCTCCTATATTTAATTTCTAATGAGTTGATTTAGTTGTCCATCTTTTGCTAAAATTATAAACAATCATGAGACTTCTATATATTTACCAATGGCAATTTGATGCCATAAACATAAAATGGCATGAAAATAGCTTATAATGAAAATAAGGTCAGGAAAATAAACAGTTCTCATATACATACTTTTGAACATACATTTTGTTTATTTAGAGACTAAACCTATAAAGACATGGGCAAAGTTTGAGAAACAGTTTCACAACTTTTGCAACCTTAGACCTTCTTGTGCTCTCTAGACTATTAACATTTCTATCAGTAATTTTTAAGGGAAAAAAGAATTTTATTTTTCCTACAGAGAAAATTTAGTTATGTACATAGATAATGCAGACTTTTTTTCCAGTTGTTCAAACTTTTCTAAGAAATGATAATAGGAATTGTAAATCAACATATTTATAGGAAGCTTCACTGGGAAAGAATTTGATTTTGTCATATGTAGTTTATCCCAAAAATGTATACTAAAACCAAAACAGCAGAATAGCAAAATATATGTATAATATAAAGATGGCAAGCCACTTATATTGCCAAATTTGAGGACATTTCCTAATGTTGACTAAACATATACCTGTTGCAGATTTATACAAATAATAGTTGAGGTTTAGTAGGTAGATAAATAGAAGGCAAGATATAGATAAAATATATTATGTTTATATAATATATTTATATAATGAACATAAACTCACTTTTACCTTATTTTACAATGCTTGATTTACCCTGAAAACATCCTGAGCAATAGCCCACTCAAATGATGATGCAACTTTATCAACTATATTGAAAAAGCACACTGGATGAGAAAATAAATATTTTTATCTGGTAGATTAATGTATTTTAAATATAAGAGATTTACATCTGCATTTTGATTCAAGTATTATTTTTGGGTCAAATAAATCATTTGGAAATGGAAATATTTATTTTTGTCAATTTTTTACATTTTCAACTGTTTCAAAAGAACAAAAAAAATAACTGCAACTCATAATTTACTGAAACATGAAACTATTTTTTTTTAAAAAAACTTGTTTATGATCAATGTTTCTATCTTTACGACAGACTTCATATAGTCTATTCTATGGTTCACTTCCTTTCCCTAGTATATTATTAAGGTTGATCATTTTATTTATTTTGAAGTTTTTCTATACATGGGAATGTATCAATGCTTAATAATTTTATAACATATGATTTCTAACATGATAGCAATTAAGTGTGTGCTTTTCTTACCAGTCACGAAAAATTAGAAAACTAGAGCATCCATTCAAAATGTTAAATTCATCATTTATATTTCATCTAAAGACCTAAGCTTTTGAAGGTATTTTACACTTTCTTGACTTGCAAAAATATTGCAATTATGAATGATACATTATTTACAGATCTTCAATATCATTCTCATTAAGTCAAAATAAAGTATCCTGACGTCTGAATTATTTATCCTTACCTACAACCTTAGGCCCACCAGCAGATCCTGGCTTTCTTGTTGTATTTGAAGGATTTCCAGGTTTTTTAGGTGCAGGAACCTTGAAACCTGAGGCAGTTGCAGATGGCCTATTTCCATCCACTGATTCTTCATCATCAAAGCTTTTATCTATAAAGGTGTTTTTAAAAAGAAAAACATGCATTAAAACCCCAATTTTTTTTGTTTTTAAAATAAATATTTACAACTGTAGTATATATAAAAATCCAATCAAAAGGAATGTCACTTTTCTTTAAATCTACAAATAACAAAAGAAAAAAATAATGTATATATATAATGGACTTGCGAATGATAGAATCTATCATTCTTTGGCAACCAAGGAAAAATCCATTAGATATATATTTCCTGTCCACTTACAATCTGTAATTCCAATTAAACATTTACATTTTCAATTTAATTCAGCAGTTCTGTAAGAAAAACACTGCTTTTCTACCAGTCGTACTTGCCATTTCTGCTACACATCCTCCTACAACGTGTCTACGAACACTCCCTGCTCATTCCTTCCACCCTGATTTTAACACTTACAATCACAGATCCGTTTACAGATCAGCCGCCTCATTCCTCTGTCAGCTCTTCAACGGCCCTTGCACTAAGATGTTCCCACATGCTCACATGGCTGTATAGTTGAATAATCTCAATATTAATCAAAATATTCCATATAAAACTGAGAAAAAGCAGCACAGATTCACCACAGAGATTTGTGCCGGCATCCTTCTGTCTCTTGCCTGCACTAGGTACTGAAACAGCCAATCAGCTGCAAGGTGACATCATCTGCTGGTAGCCACTGCTAGATGAAAAGGTGAAAAATTCTTCATACATATAAACTCATTCCCATGCCCAAACATTTACATACTCTATTTTGTGATACATGATAGAGTATAATTTTCTTTAAAGGTCTTTATTTTTAAAAACTGAAAGATATCATCTGGCTTATAACACTTCTTTCCAATTTGTTCCGTGTTGCTTTAGTTTTTTATTTCAAATTATATCCTTACTCTAAAAACTTAGTATTCTGCATATCATGTCAACATTTCACTATTCAATTATAGAAAAAATATTTTTGGCAGGATCCAAAATGAAATGAAAAATCAACCTACAGTTTTTCATCACAGACGAGATGGGCGAGGCTGATACAGAACTGTACAAAGCCTAGAGCATGTGCAGACGAACAGAGTTTCCCTGAAAAATTTTTCAGTTATGGTTTTCACCCTGTCAATGGAACTCCTGTAATTCCTATATGCTTTACCCTAGATTTCACATCTTTCTAGAATAAAACTAAACATTCTATTATGTTCAACAAAATATGTTTAAAACTATGACTTTAGATTTAGAAAGGAAGGTTTAGAAATGTGCTGCTGAAAAAATGTTTGAAAAATATTGACATATCTTATTAAGTATCTCTTAACCATACTCCTACTGGTACGGGACTTGATATCAATTTTAATGTATACCCAAAAATGTCAAAAGTGTATCCTTCAGATAATCATCCAATGGTATATGGCTCTAAGCATTTTGTATGCAGGAGTATGTTACTATCAGAATGCAAGAGGAAGACAGGAAACACATTATTCTAGCAGTCTCCATGGTAACTGTGCTTTGCCCTTGCATATGTACTGGAAGGCAACATTTCAGATCACTTTAACTCTTAAAACATAGGAACTCTGTAGAATATCCTATTATTTTAAGCACATTAAATGAAAAGTAAAAATGTACTGAAGATAACACTGAATGGAAATGGTTGCCCCCTTAGTTCTATGTAATGACATTATATAGTTTCTCAAGAAATTGTTTTAAACACTCACTAAGAAAGATGCAGAAATCATGAGAGGCATTAAGATTTCTAGGACAAAGAGCACCTAGTTTGTTAACCTTAAGTAAAAATAATCACCAAAACTTATGGTCATTATTTGTAATACTTCTCTATAATAAACATATTTGGATTCAAATTCTGCTTCTAGTACATAGCACAAATTCATCCAGGAGACTAGAGATAAAAAAGATGGAGGATTGATATTTTTGTCTGCATTATTCCTAAGCTTTTAAATGATCCCTGACAATGATCTGAGGAACAGCTAAGAACCTGCATCTCAGGTGACTCAATGATCCACTTATGCAAAAGTCAGGTTTTTAGCATCCCTTAAAAGTTATCCACATTGCATTAAGTCCCACATGGCTGATTTAATATGTTTTCTCATTTGTCCCTGCATCATCTGGTGTGGCATGCCTATGGAGAAAACTCATAGCATAGATGGAAGTGATGCTATGGTCAACAGACAACAACGTCTTAGACTATAAGAGAATTGCTCACTATTACATGTCACTGTATTTGTGGATATTTTATTTGCTATTCGAACTTGGATTTTATATAGATGTATTGGCAAAGTAAATGTGAAAATGGTATGTGTGTATATGTTTGAGTATGTGATGTTGTGTATGATGTTAACTTTAGAAAGAGCTAAAATATATTTGTACTTTCAGTATAATTATTATGAAGAATATTAGAAATTACTCCTTTGTATATTTTTCATCCCCTTTATGGATTACTGCCTTGTCATGGCGAAGGGGCTTGCGTAACTCAATGAAGCTATAAGCTATGCCGTGCAGGGCCACCCAAGACGGACAGGCTATAGCAGAGAGTTCTGACAAAATGTGATCCACTGGAGAAGGAAATGGCAAACCACTCCAGTATCTTTGCTATGAAAACCCCATGGACAGTACTAAAAGGAAAAAAGATATGACGCTGGAAGATGAGCCCCTCAGGTCGGAAGGTGTCCAATATGCTACTGGGGAAGAGCAGAGGGCTAGTACTAGTAGCGCCAGAAAGAATGAAGCAACTGGGCCAAAGCCGAAAGGACGCTCAGCTGTGGATATATCTGGTGGTGAAAGGAAAGTCCGATGCTCTAAAGATTTTTTCTCCATAGGAACCTGGAATGTAAGATCCATGAATCAAGGCAAGCTAGACATAGTCAAAAAAGAGATGACAAGACTGAACATCGACATCTTAGGAATCAGCGAACTAAAATGGACAGGAATGGGTGAATTTAACTCAGATGACCATCAGGTATACTACTGTGGGCAAGAATCCCTCAGAAGAAATGGAGTAGCCTTCATAGTCAATAAAAGAATAGGAAAAGCAATACTGGGATACAATCCTCAAAATGACAGAATGATCTCAATTCGAATCCAAGGCAAACCATTCAATATCACAGTAGTCCAAATCTATGCCCCAACCACTGGTGCTAAAGAGGATGAAATTGACCGGTTCTATGAAGCCCAAGAGCACCTTATAGAATTAACACCTAAAAATGATGTCCTTATCATCATGGGGGATTGGAATGCTAAGGTAAGAAGCCAAAAGATAACCGGAATAACAGGCAAGTTTGGCCTTGGAGTACAAAATGAAGCAGGGCACAGGCTAATAGAATTTTGTCAAGAGAATACGATGGTCATAACAAACACTCTTTTCCAACAACCCAAGAGACGGCTCTACACATGGACATCACCAGATGGTCAACATAGAAATCAGATTGACTATGTGCTCTGCAGCCAAAGATGGAGAAGCTCTATACAGTCAGTAAAAACAAGACCAGGAGCTGACTGTGGCTCAGATCATGAGCTTCTCGTTGCAAAATTTAGGCTTAAATTGAAAAAAGTAGGGAAAAGCACTAGGCCACTCAGGTATGAACTAAATCATATTCCTGATGAATATACAGTAGAGGTGACAAATAGATTTAAGGAATTAGATCTGATAGACAGAGTGCCTGAAGAACTATGGATGGAAGTTCGCAACATTGTACAAGAGGTAGCAACTAAAACCATCCCAAAGAAAAAGAAATGCAAGAAAGCAAAATGGCTGTCTGAGGAAGCTTTGCAAATAGCTGAGGAAAGAAGGGAAGCGAAAGGCAAAGGAGAAAGAGAAAGATACACCCAATTGAATGCAGAATTCCAGAGAGTAGCTAGAAGAGATAAGAATGCCTTCTTAAATGAACAGTGCAAAGAAATAGAAGAAAACAACAGAATAGGGAGGACCAGAGATCTCTTCAAGAAAATTGGAGATATGAAGGGAACGTTTCATGCAAAGATGGGCATGATAAAGGACCAAAATGGCAGAGACCTAACAGAGGCAGAAGAGATTAAGAAGAGATGGCAAAACTACACAGAAGAACTATACAAGAATGAGCTTAACATCCCAGATAACCACAATGAGATGGTCACTGACCTTGAACCAGACATCCTAGAATGTGAAGTGAAATGGGCCTTAGAAAATCTGAGCAACAACAAAGCTAGTGGAGGTGACAGTATTCCAGCTGAGCTATTCAAAATCTTAAAAGACGATGCAGTAAAAGTGCTACACTCAATTTGCCAGCAAATTTGGAAAACTCAACAGTGGCCACAGGATTGGAAAAGGTCAGTTTACATTCCAATTCCAAAGAAAGGCAATGCCAAAGAATGTTCAAACTATCGCACCATTGCACTCATTTCACATGCTAGTAAAGTTATGCTTAAAATCCTACAAGCTAGACTCCAGCAGTATGTGGATCGAGAACTACCAGAAGTACAGGCAGGATTTCGAAGAGGCAGAGGAACTAGAGATCAAATTGCCAACATACGCTGGATCATGGAGAAAGCTAGGGAATTCCAGAAAAACAGCTACTTCTGCTTCATTGACTATGCAAAAGCCTTTGATTGTGTGGATCACAACAAATTGTGGCAAGTTCTTAAAGAGATGGGAGTACCAGACCATCTCATTTGTCTCTTGAGAAACCTATATGGGGGTCAAGAAGCAACAGTGAGAACCAAACACGGAACCACTGATTGGTTCAAAATTGGAAAAGGAGTCCGGCAAGGCTGTATACTGTCGCCCTGCCTATTTAACTTATATGCAGAGCACATCATGAGAAAGGCAGGGCTAGATGAATCAAAAGTTGGAATTAAGATTGCCGGGAGAAATATCAACAACCTAAGATATGCAGATGATACCACTCTAATGGCAGAAAGTGAAGAGGAACTAAAGAGCCTCTTGATGCGGGTGAAGAAGGAGAGTGCAAAAGTGGGCTTGAAACTCAACATTAAGAAAACCAAAATCATGGCATCCGGCACTCTCAATTCCT